CCCCCCCAGTTCCCTCAGCCATTCCTCAAATGACATGTGCTCCAGACCCTGAACCAGGTCCATTGCTCTAAAGAATTTCAACCCTCTTCCCCTTGCCAGTACCTTTCACACTTGGCCGATGGCACCAGCTCAGCCCTAAATCATCCGCAAATGTGCTGCACCCTGGAGGAGAGGGCAGAGGCCAGGGAAGCCCCACGGAAGCCACCGGCTGAGCGAAGGCTCCGCGGGCAGGAGTCAGGGCAGGGGCTGGAATGGTGCTGGTGGCTGGGCCTGCAGGAGCGGCAGAGCCCGCGTAGTTCTGCTGCTGCAAGCACGTAGGACTGCGCTCCCCGCCCCAGCACCGCTCTCCACCTGCTCCTCCCATGCCTGCCCCCGGCTCCCAGGTGGGCTGCTGCAGCTTTGAGGGCTATGAACAGGAGGAAGCAGAGCTGCCAAACGCAGCTGTTGAATGGGCCTTAAATTGGATTGGCACTGGGATGGCATCCCTGGAGCCAGTCCATACTGGCAGTGTGGCACACGCCACGCTGAGAACTGCTTAAGCACCGGAGCCATCCAGTGCTTGTGCCCTCATCTGCAAGGAGCAGCTAAAGCACTTTCCCCTCTTTCCTGCATAAAATCAGAGGGTAGCTCGAATGCAGAAAAGCAGGCAGGCTCTCCTGCCTGGTGTTTGCTGGCAGTGGTACCAGGCTGCTACTGGATTAGGCGCTTGCCCTGGCTCTAATCCAGCATTTCCCACAGCAGGACCGAGCAGTCTCAGCCAGGGGCTGTTCTGGGCACAGACCCACGATTCTCAGGCTCTGGGTGCTCAGCCACAGGCATTAGTCTGGCCCCGCTCCTGCAGATCCATCCCAGCCAGACTGGAAGAACCCCCCTACCAGGCAGAGGCAAGGTAATCGCCCCTTCCTTTACCTCTATATCTGACACAGAGTGGTGCATTTCAAACATCCCCTCCCCCGGCAGCTGTGCTAGTGCAGCTATCTTTGGCAAACACCTTCAGATTTCCTGCTTTCAAGGGCTACAACAAGAACAAAAGACAGTTTCTACTTTTATTATCAGTTTAATACAGTCTTTGATAGGGAGAAGCAGCAGGAGCCAACATGCAAAGCAACTAAAATCACTGGGGACTCGAGAAAGATCACCCACACCTCAACTTGTGAAGTAACTGCTCTTCCACAACAGCGACCCAGATGCAGCTCGAGGAACCCGTTTCCCTACACACTGCTGCTCGATCAGGCCCCACAGCCTGACGAGTTCGTGGCAGACACCAAACCAACACACAACAGTCAGGAGGAAGGTGCTGGTCTTGGATTTTGTCTTTTGAGGACTCAGATCAATTCCCTGACTAGAGTCTGGGGTGCTCTGAAACCAGGAGGCCACCTGAAATCTTGTCTCTGCTGCTGGTCTGCAGAGGGGAGGGATCCTGCAGGCAGAGGCGATGGCTTTGACAGCAACTCAGGAGATGAAGCTCAGACATTTGGCTGCAGTTTACCTGTTTCAGAGCTGGGACCACTTGGAGTCAACAGGTCTTTTCAATGCATGTCGTGGAATTTAGGCTAAAGATTTCCAACAGCATAAGAGAAGTATTTCCAAAGGAGTAGAAGCAGAAGTCCCCACGAAGAAAGAGGTGCATCAGGCTGGCCAGCCCTTGCAGACAGCAAAACAAAACCCCACCCAGCTCCCTTACAGCAGTTCATCTGCAGAGACATTATGTCCTCCTGCACCTCTTCCTTTGGCAGGCCTCTGCATCTGAGCCACAGGAACTATCTGAGTCGCTTCCCGATGAGGAGGAAGAGGAGGGTTTCAATGTGCTATAGTTCATGCTCAAGACCCACCCCAGTTTGTTGTGTAGCACCTGCTTGAGTCCTGGAGGCAATGGCAGCACCTCCAGCGTGTCCACGTAGTCGGGTAGGAGCTGGCGCAGGCGGTAACAGCAGAGATACTGGAGGGACGTGCAGCTCGCGCAGGAGCGGATCACCTTCATGCTGCTCTTTGCCGCCGTCGAGCACACCATGGGGTAGAACTTCTTGTTCTGCAGCTTCGTGGCTGCAACCCCTGCCAAGGGACAGCATCAGGAAGGTTTTACATTAGTTTTGATTAAGTGATCACACTCCTCCCAGCTATCCTGAACCTTTTAACTACACAGCTGTTGGAAAACACTTGGAAAACAGCATTTTGAAATCCCAATCTATTAAAGAACAAAGGTAACCTGCTTCACACCTTGGTTTTCTAGTCTGCCAGTGTTTTCTCCAGCAATGCTGCTGCAGCCAGACTCCGAGTGCAGCCAGAGCAGCCGCTGCTCCCCACTCCCAGCCCCCTGCCCGCAGGCCGCTGCGCCTGCCCTTACCCTTACCTACGCACTTGCGGTTTTTGAAGAACGTGAGTGTCCCATGCCACGTGTCCAAGTGCACCCCAATGATGGAGCCTTGGCCAAACCTCGAAGAGAAGTTTGTTTTGTCTCCCTTGTGATGCAGTAGTCCTTAAAAGGAAACAAAACCACCAAACCCCTGGCATTCAGCAGAAAGCCTGCGCTCCACAGATCAATCCCCGCTCCCATGCTGTGAGTTCCCACTGGTGCAGCCTTGACTTGTGCTGATCCCCTCCCTCCTGCCCCAGAGCGGGTGATGAAAAGGGGAAGGTTGAGGTTTTGCAAGACCAGACCACAGGCAGCAGCACCGTAACCCCTGGGCAGTGTCATGCAACCAGCAGCCCCAGTGCCCAGGAGGTTCACTGACTGATTCGAAGGGGGCTGCAAAATGCCAGCGAGGTGAGAGCCTCTGCGAGCTGCAACCTGCTGGCAGCCACTGTTGTTAGTGAAGGGACTTCCAGGTCTGGCAGCCATTTCCCATTCCAGCTGTTTAATTCTCACCCCCCCAAAAGCAAGCATCTTTGCCTGCTGCTACCCTTCCAGCCATCCTGCCCTCTCCCACTGCCCTGTCTGCATCACCTGTGTAGGAGAGGCCCCAGCTGTCCTCGTCCTTGCCCAGCAGGCTGCAGAAGGTGTGGCGGTACTTGTCCAGATTCACATCCGATGTCCCGATTCCCACCATCTGGGAGGCAAGGCCAGGAAGAACAACACAAGCTTTAAGTGCCTTTTGAAGCAATAAAACACAACCGAGACTTCACCTCCAGCTCTTCCCTCTTTCTCTTGGCACACTCCAAAACACCCAGAGGTTTTGGTGAAGCCAAGTTAGAGCTTTCAGGCTGGAGTTGAAGGCTCCAAGCTCCAATTTCCTTTCCTAAGTGAGGAGGCCCATCTGAATTGCAAGAGAAGCTTGCTGTCCTGTTCAAAAATTCACAGAATGGTTTGGGTTGGAAAGGACCTTAAAGAACATCCAGTTCCACCCCCCGTGCCAT